TAAATAGAAATGTACAGATACAAGTACTAAGATCTTTAATAGTTGTTTTTCTGATTAACTGAAGTTATCCCTTTAAAAAGAGCTGCATAATATGGTAGAGTAGTACACAATCATGTCAGCAACCGTAGAGCCTGGAATGGTCATCACAAAGGGAGAAAATAATAGTACGAAAGGGCAAAGAATCATAGAATGGCCTGTGTTGAAAAGTACCACAATGATCATCTAGTTTCAACCCCCTGCTATGTGCAGGGTTGCCAACCAGCAGACCAGGCTGCCCAGAGCCACATCCAGCGAGGCCTTGAATACCTCCAGGGATGGGGCATCCACAACCTCCTTGGGAAACCTGTTCCAGTGGAAGAAGAAGAGCTCTGGGGGAAAGCAAGTATAGTGTGTGCTGGAACAGAAATGGGATTAGGAGGGAGAGAGACAATGCATTGCAGTTTGCTTTTTCTATTACCCCAAGTGTGGTACTGCAGTGTACTTGGTGCTTAACTAGTAGCTTCAGATTTACTTTAATTAAAAAAGTAATACAACCGAACTTTTGCTTTAAATATATTCATTTATTCTGGTACAATAAAGATTTCTAACAGTAAAACACGTTAGTGCTTCTTCACATTTTACTTCCTCATGGAACTCTAAAACCACTTTCATAAATGATGTATATATGGCATATAAGTTACACAGTTAACAGTAAGGCCCTTCAAGAAATAGACGTCACTACTGGAGCTGGTCATGAGTGGCGGGTGATGACATGAAGATTTATAAGGTTTGACTTCGAATTTGGCAATTTTTGGTACTTTCATGAACTTTTCTTAGCATAGCCCAGTTTTGAAGTTTTTGTATATTTCTAGAGCAAGTGACAGAGTTTATTGTATTAAATAGTTTAAATAAGTAGTTGCTGAGCAAAAATAACTTAGACAAAATTAAAAAGCAATTTACTTGGACAGAAGTCTTTGAAATACTTTATGTGCTAGCTATCAGATCTGCTTTTGCTTTATTTTTCTGGAAAATGATGGTATTCTTCAGATTGCCAAGTTTTACTAGTAAATGTACTGCCAAATCTTGGGAAAAATAAGTCAAGGACTCTTAAAATTACATAGTGTTGAGTGAAAAGCCAAAGAGAAGGTTTTTTGTATACCAGAAATCCTTATTCTTTCAAATATAAAAATATATATCTGATGCTGTGGAGTGACCTGTATTTAATTTCCTTTCAGGTTGTTTAAAATGCTACAGACGTAAAAGAAGGAGTAACAAAAGTGGCAGACATTTCTCCTAGTGTACAGGCACGCTCTATTTAAAATATTCATTGCTTTATTATTTTGGGTAGAAGTGATTTCACTGTACCATTTGCAGGGAAAATATTTCTAATACTGGCATATTCATCTTGGCTTTAAACACAGTAGTATATTTTGTATTTTGCTTCTTGTCTTCCACAAGATGAGGAGTTGACTTAACAACTTTTTGGTTTTACACCATCTGGAGGTTTGTAATTGACATATGTAATGATGTCATACATGCTTAGCACCGAACAGATAGTGTATAGTGGAAGGTTGCGTGCAGTTCAGTCTGAGGTAGTTTTATTTTGTGTCATGAGAAATGTAAAAGTCTTGGTTTGTGTTTACTGAAGACAGAAGGAAGAATTTAGGGAAGGAAAGAATGACTGACATAACCAATGTTCTTATAAATCTTAACATTGCATTCCTGTGTATGGAAAATAAATCCGTACACCTAAGACCACACACAGGATGAGCTGTCTGTTCACTGTTCCAGGCTGGCACTGGCTCAGCCTTTTGCCTCTTTGAAAACTGGCACAAAGCTCTGATTTTAGAATGGCTCTTTATTGTATGTGTTAGTTTGGGAGATGATAAACCTGTTCTGTCAAAATATCTAAGACTTCGTTGTGTAGGTGGTCTTTTTGAGTTAGTTTTGTTGTATCAGTTTCAAGATATCTGACCCACTGTTTTTTTTTGAGGATGTAAGAAAGTACAGGTATAGTTAGGAGATTTTTTTCCTCCCAACATTAGTGTCAGGGCACAGTCTAATTTGATTCCCTCAAAAAGTATTTTCTGAGAAAGCAGGCTGGAGATTGTACCTCAAGGAGAAAAGGATGACACATTAAAAGCTATGCTGTGAGCTGAGTAGTCTCCTTTTCTAATCCTACAGGTCTTAATTTCAGCTCTTGCATGGACTTGGCTTTGATATGTATATAGTTTTGCCCAGGACAGGTTAAAAATATTATTGCACAGAAGAGAAAAGAAGGACCATCAAATAAGATACAGTCTTAAAAAAAAAAAAAAAAAAAAAAAAAAAAAAAAAAAGCAGTAGGAAAATGTATGATTTGCAAAAGATTAATTTGAATCACTGTGATCTGGATTGAAACCTGGGAAATGCTTTGGCAGCAACCCAGGCCAGTAGCTTCGTATCAGAGAAAGATTTCTGTTTCACCAGAAGGGTGGAAATTCTTTAGGAAGGAATTTGCTCCTAATTCTTCTTAACTCAAACTCAGCTGGAACAGATCAATCAGTGGTTGACCTACGGTTCGTTTGGAAAGGGCTGTAGCAGATGACAGTGCATTTGCTGTGGCACAGGTGTGACATCATGGGCTGTTATGGAAATGTCAGAGTTCCTGACTAAGAGTGTGTGGTGTAAGACCATGTTTTGTCTCTGTGGGTCAGAATGAGGAAGGTCTCTGTCTGGAGCGGAGCACCTTCTTTCCTCCCTCAGGGCTGAATGTGCATGTGTTTGCTAGGGAATAGAAATAACAGCCTTGTTATAAGCTGGTGAAAGAAAATTTCCTTGGAAATTTGGGACAAATACATTTGTGAAGAGTGAGAACCATCCACAGAGCCTTTAGGACAGGGGAATGGCTTTTGAATTAGAAAGTGCTGCTCAGCCAAGTCTGGGTGCAAGCTACTGTTATCCCAGTCCCCAGGGAGCTTCATTTACCTGTGGTTCTAATCACTTCCAACTCCCTTTAAAGTCAAGTACAAAGCCTCTACTTTAGTGGCAGCTGGCAAACGAGACTTGCAATGCCTGAATGAAGAAAACCCCTACTGGAGCTCCTGCTGCAGGTTATGATGAGCTTCTCAGCTGCAGCTTAAAGGCACAGCAGAGATTTTTGTGATGTGACATAAGGGATTGCTTAACGACATGCACCAAATAAGTGATTAAGTATAAAAATGAATAAATGTGGTAATGAGTTTCAGATGAGGTCTTCCGCGTTTATTAAAAGGGGTCTGAAAGTTAGCTGCTACTACTCTTTCTTTAAAGTTAAAAAGTCACATTTGAATCTAATATTACCCACTGCTTACAAACTGCAAGACACTACTACTACAATATTATTAAAAAATGTTAAAAATATACTAAATCCAGAAGAACATAAATCTTTCTTTTCGAGTGTATAGAGAAGCAATGAGCCATTTTAAGAGCAGGAAGAACATGCATTTTGAGATCCAATAGATCATTTAAATTAGTCCCAAGCCAAATTTTAAAATGGCATTGCAAAGGCTTCTGGTCACAATAACTTTAGAATTACAAAACTAAGAATATAAATAAAAATAAATCAGACTTGTGTTGATTATTTTGTACTCTAATAATGTTCTGATGAACCAGAAAAAAAGGATGCTTAATGTGTACGACCCTTAGTGACTATTTCAACTGTACAGCCTGAAAATGCAAAACTAGTGCTAAAGTTCTTTCAGTTATTTCCATTTGCTATGAATAAACTTTGTGAATTTGTAGGTAATGTAAACTTTAAACCCTAATTCTTTATTTTCTGACATCTGTATGTTTGAAATTTGGATTAGTGAATCTAAAATTTCGCACCCGCCTGACTTCCTGCAGCTCCCTACTAGATGGAGAATTATTCTAAACTGCCACATCATATATTTTCAGTTCAAACCTTGTCTTCTCAATGGTGTGCCTAGCAGCCAAAACAAGCCTGTATGGATCCACTTAATGTGAACACCTCGTAGTTTCAGAGCTGTAGGGGAAAACAGTATCAGAAAAACAGCCTCTTTTCAAGGAGACCTGTCTTAGCAGTAACAAATGATTACAGTGTTTTTATCTGACTTCTCTACTTTGCATGAAATGATAAGGCTGTGCTAAAAGCTTGTAAACCTTGCAAATGTACTCCATTCCCATGTTGCCTCTCTGTGCTTTCTGTGCAGCATAGTGGCTTTGTCTCTCTACATGGAACAGAAGTGCAAATGTAGAAGCAAGTCTGTAATGGTATTTTTAGTATCTACTCTCCTTGTCTGGAAGCTTCAGTGTGTTAACTAGCCTTCTGGAAAACTGAAATCCTTCACTAAGAATAAGCTCTCTGATTCTGGAAATGCTGACGAGTTTGGGAGTTAGAGGCTGCATAAGGAATGCAAAGTGGAATCCAGAGCACTTAACACCATGAAGGCCTTTTATTAAGTTACTTCTGTTTAGAAAAATCTTTGAAATACCCCTTGTTTTATCTGACAGGGAATTGTGCTTATGCTTACTATAGAAAAGTACAGGAAGGCCCATTTGTTAAGAGATTTACGAGATGTATATTGGAGAAAAGCTGAGAGCTGTATGATTTCCCTGTTTGTTGTGTTAAATAGTTCTGCTTCTAGATTATGGATCTATGCTCAATTTTGGATAGTGGCTGTACTATAAAGTTGCCTGCTTCATGGCTTTAACGGGCAAGTACAGGATACAGAGTGCTGTTTTCAATTAATTATTTAATAAGTTGAGATGATTTTTTTGAATCTTTGTTTGTGAGTTTTAGTCTTAGAGTTTCAAATTTTCTGCTTTTTTTCCTATTCATCCTTTGTTGCTGAAACTCCATTCTCCTAAAATTGCATTTGAGCGAGTCATACATGTTGAATTTCTTTGGTCCAAGGTAAAGTTAGAAAGTCTACACTAAAAAAAAGAAATGTTTCCTAGGTGATACAAAAAGCAAATAAAAAAAGAAAAATATGGTTCTCATCCTTACCAACAACCAAATATATTTGATTTACTTATTGTAGGTTGATGCCTTGCGGTTGCGATTGGAAGAAAAAGAAACATTTCTCAATAAAAAAACAAAACAACTTCAAGACCTCACAGAAGAGAAAGGAACCCTGGCTGGAGAGATTCGGGATATGAAAGACATGTTGGAAGTAAAAGAAAGGAAAATCAATGTCCTTCAAAAAAAGGTAAGATCACTGATGAAATGGCATGTTATAAAACTCATGAGGCACCTATAATGGAAATACACTTCTTGAGCCATTTTACTTTTAAATTATTACAAAAATTGCAAAGAGTAAGTTGGTAGTAGTCAAGTAGCTCTGTAACGTGTTATCTTCCATGAATTTGTTCCTGTGGTATTATATTTTATTTGTATTACAAATTTTTATGTGGTGCACTTTGGAAAAATTCTAGCAGTTAAATGAAGACCTAAAAATCCTGTCAAATCTTACTCCTCGCCATCAGAGTTTCTTTTATACATACTAACATTGAATACTAGTCTTTCCAAGTAATGCAAAGGAAATGAAATACGTGAAACTTCTAAAAGATTAGTACATTTCTTTTTTTTCTGTAAATACACTGTGATAGAGACAGCAAAGGAAGTGGGGAAAGAACCCAAATTATGTCAATTATCTGCTTTAGGCTACAGATATTAGAATGCAGGATCACTTCAAACAGCCTTGTTATTCTTACTGCTAATTTTCCACAGACTTAGCTCAATTGCATGTTGGATTTAATTGTTACAGTTTCCACTTTGTGGTGGAGATGTGGGGTTGAACTTACTTGGGAATGTAGCTCTGGATTCTGCATACGGTTGTGGAGTGCTTACTTACCGTATCCTTTCTCTGACACACACAAAATGATTTATGTTAGAGAGTATGTACTGTGTGTGTTTGCATCACTGCAGTGTGTATAGATGCACTTGAGAGCATAAATGAAGAAAATGTTTGTGGGATCAAATACATTTTTCTCTCCTCCATTTACAGCCAATTAAAGAATGTCTAGTCCATATTGTCAGTTATTCTTTAGATAGCTCTTGCCAGAGAGTAACCTAAACTTTTCTTTACCAGTAATGATGCTGATAGACACATTCTACAATACTACAGTGATTTTCCTCTGGATTTCATATATAATTCATGTTGCTTATGTGTGCTTCTCTTCTGTCTGCATTTGACATTGTATTTTGATGAAATACAATGATAAACGAAATGGGTGAGTAGGAGGGATGTGGATTCAATGGTCAAAATTGTCATCGTGCCGGGATTCTCAAATAGTCTAAGTAGTGTACGTTATCATCTAAGAAAGAAGTTTGGAACAGGCTACCCAGGAATGTGGTGGAGTCACTGCTCCTGGTGATTTTAAAGAAAAAGGATAAATGTGGCATTTAGAGATATGGTTTGGTGGGCCTGGTGGTTATGGGTTGATGGTTGGACCTTAGTTGTCTTTTCCAACATTAATGATTCTGAGTTCTCAGATGTACCTCTTTTCTTCCCAGTTTTGACAACGTATCTTTCCAATAGCAACCATATCTGAGAATATATTTTGTTAAAAAATATTGTTATATATTGATTACTGTTATTTCATTCTTTACATAAGTCTATTATGTTTCCATCTTCTACTTCTTCCTGGATTACTTATTCCTCTTCAATTTCTCCAATTATTGCTCGTTTTCTGATCTAGACACTTCTTCCATTATTGTTTTCACTTCAAATGATGATGGCCATACATTTGGTTGTTGAATACTTAGAAATTAATCTGCCTTCATAAAGCACGTGTGGGTGTGCTGAAGTCAGTGCAGGTACTGTGCTCCTCCTCAGATTACATGCAAGCTGAAACAGTTAGGCCCTCTAGTGGATTGTCCGTCCTTTGCATTCCAGTAGGACGTTGCACCATTCATTACTCTCATAAAACCACTTTTGAAAATGAATTTCTTGTGGTTTTTCAGTCCTCCCCAGATCATTATATTATGTAGGCAATATACATATATTTTTTTTTTTTTCTGGGACAGATTTTCTCTATGTAATTTAGCTTTGACATGAGTACAGATGAATAACCTACTATTTTGTTGCCTTTGTTGATGCAGTATAAATAGCTACATTTTTCTTTGCTCTGTTCAAGTGTTACATTCAGCCTAAAAACAGTATTTATTTTACAGGTTGTATTTCTGTAATTGAAGAAGGAATAATGTGTATACGGTAGTTAAAATTTCAGTTAGTAATAACCTGAAATGACTGGGAAGGAATATGTAGAAGTGTCTAATTCTATATTCTTTCTTTTGTATACATTACATTACTACTATCTACTATGTTGCAAAATACAAAGGACTCCAAATCAAAACCAGGAAAGCTCATTTTCAAATATAGAATTTTCTTCTTTTTAGATAGCTGTTTTACTTAGAGAATAAGATGCCTTCTCATGAAGGCTCCCTACTAAAAAATGTGAAGGAAACAAAAATATAGGGAACAAACCAGAACAAACAGGATGGCATAGGAACATACAGAAGGCATTTTTTTTTGCACAAAAGTTTAATGAGATAATGAGCTAATGATGCGTTGTCCTTCCATTTGTTGATTTTGGTGTATTTTTAAAGCAAATTTAAAAAACATCATGCTATTTAGTATAATTTGTAGGCCTAAAGGAGTCCAAATTCTGGAACTGCAAGCATTCAGAGGATTTGGATCAAGGTAGATTGGTATGGAGTAATAATAAACTTATGTCAATGTCAGGGGTGCAATATTACTTAATATTTCTTTCTTTTAGAATCTTTGGCACCACTGTTTCATTTTAGTGCCAGTAAAGTTGGGTATGTTGTTTTAATAGCCCTGTTTAACCTGGCAAAGCTAGTCTTACACCTCATATCTGTCAGTTTAGCATGCTGAGGGGCAGACCTCAGAATTCTTTATATATTTCTTACCAGAATGTGCAAAGTTCTATGAATATGTCTGAGGTGTAGGTTGAGGGGCAGAAGTGCTGAACTGGATGACAATTGTTTTAATATCCATTTTTTCCCCAAATTTTCTCTTTCATATAGTGACTATAACTGGTGTGTTCTGTACTCTAGGAATTTGTAGATATTTGTGTATGCACACGCATGTGCACAGACACACACTGAAGTTTTTGAGTCTGTGTTGAGAACAGTAGCTGTGAGACAAGAACAGAATGGAGAATGTAGAGCTGGATCATATTAGGACAACAGCTTGTGGAAATTCTTTTGTGGGAATTGTTGTAAAAGAAAGCCATGTAAAGGAGGCTAATATATTCTACTTTGACTTGCAATACAAATTTTCATGTAAAATGTTAGTTTCCATCTTTAATAGTTTAAGCTCTGTGATTGATGAAGTGCTACATGACTGAGGGCCCTAACCTACCAGCTAATTAGCATTTGTAGGAAATGTCATAAAGTCTTAGCTCTAATGTAATAATTGGAATCTGTACTTGGAATGGCTGGACTGTGCACACTATGTGATATTGTCCAGTTTGTGTTAAACTGTGTTGTATGTCTTGCTTTGTATGTATTACTCTTAGCTGTCTTCTAAAGGATAGTAAATTTGCATCATGTTAGATTAGGAATACAGTAGCGAAATCAAATGAGTCTTGTGTTTAGAAATTTGCATTGGTGTTATGGTGTTATCACTTGGCATGGGAATTCTAGCTGTGAACACAACAGAAACTGAATCTTCTGCAGGCAGGGTGGTTCAGCAGAGAGAATTCTTACATTTGCTCTCAACACATAAAAAGCACGTTGCTTACTGAAGCAGCTTTTAATTTTTTTCATAGTTTAATCAGTTAATCCCAGGTTGTTATTGATATGTTCTAATGAAAATGGATCTCTGGTGATTCTAGACTACCGCTTAGCCTTGAATCCTTAAAAGTTGTGTATGCTACAAATTGAAGATAGATGGATAAATACAAAGTGACCTCAAACCGAAGCAGCGTATCTTTGGATGCACCTGGCCTGTACACTGAGACGCAGAACACCATGAAGATCAGAAGCAGTTATCCTTTTCCCTTTTTTTTTTAAATACTTTTATTTCTTTTTGTTTTTGTAACCAGTGCAGAACTTACAAGTTTAAAAGTTCACTACTAAAATCTGACCTAATATAAGTTCACTCAGTAAAGATGAACCTTAATGTTCATCCAGACTAAAATCATAGCTATAACAAGTTCAAGTAAGTCCTTGGACATTGAAATCCATGATCTTTAAAAAGTTTCCAGTCTTTACCATCTTTTCAAATGAATTTACTATTTACTACTAAAGCTAGAAGCCTGCCAAGTTGTTTTTTTTTTCTCTCGATGACCTGCTTGAAACTGCTGCTTTAGTTCAAATCTTCACTTCAAAAGGAGAAGAGCTGGATTGAACCCCTTTGATTTGAGCTATTTGAAGGCAATCACTATCTTTCCATGAGAAAATCACTGAATTCCTTGAAGTTTCATGAAATTACTGAAATCTAAAAACTGTTTTACCTAATGTGAGTTCTGTAAACATGGTGAATTTGGAATATCAGAATCATTTTGCATATTGTAAATCATGGGCCCTCAAGGAAGTGAAGAAATATTGACTTCACTTAGAAGAGATACTGTGTTGTTTACTTACATTTGTGCAGTCTTCAGCACAGTAGCATAATTCCACTGCTACATACATTATTAATTAAAACAATGTATTTACTTATGAAGCGTATATTCACTCATGCATATAAACCGTAGTTATATGAACAAAGGGTGCTGTTTGTATTTTGTATGACAGATCTAAAACATGGTGAAATAGTGTAATGAGAGATCAATAAGTCATTTTTTGAGAAGTAGTAAATGTGTATGTGTAAATCACAGGTATTTAACATTTTAGAGACAAATAATTAAGCATGAATAACAGGTGGTATTCCAGATCAAGCTATGCTTATCTAGTTTTTAGAGGATTCTTCATACATTTGTATGAATTACACTGAATAGTTAAAGGCTCAGATTATATGTAACACAAAGAAATGCTCTTAAAAGCAGTATGGCATTTGCAAAGTAGGACTGCAATCAATGAGATACTTACATAAGGGTTTCATACCGTGTGTAACACCAGTACTATTGATGAGGAAGGAAGCTGCCATTTGGCTTTGAAATGTCAATACTAATTAACAAAGTTATCTTTAAGTAAGATCCGAAGTTTATTCATGCTGAAGGAGCAGCCAACTCACATGCT